CCCCAAGTTGTATCACATTGTAAACAATTCCACATAGAAGTTGTACAAGGAAGAAAACTAGTAAAACGCACAGTCGTGTACCGCCAAGCTTCCAGATGGTATCGCGAATTTTGACGCGATGTGCGTTCATGAAATTTGGCGGCTGGAATTAATCCGAACGAATTCGTCAGAGCACTCCCCGTGGTAGATTCGATAGAAAATGCAAAGCGGTGCAACATCCCTACGCAGCGCCAGTGTATCGAGCCGATCAGAAAGACCTCGGTCGTCGACGATTCGAACCACTCTGCTTTGGATGCGGTGAAAGCACTGGGGTGCCCCGGTGCTTTAACAGTGGTAGAGCCACGCGGCAGCTTTTGCTGTCGCACGGATGGGCCGGCTCGAACCGGGGTAGTACCACGACCTCACAGAAAACCAGCGTGAAGTAGAGATTTACCTCTGCGTTTCGCTTGGTTAGTGCAGGTGGCCGGAGGCACTTTTTACTGGAAATGAGGCATTCCATCTTAGTCCTCACGGGTGACAACGCATCTACATTTTGATTTGTAATAGAGGATAGATGTAGATATCTATGGGTCGCAGTAACCACTTACCATCAGGTGGACTGTGCGCTCGTTTGTCACCCTTATTCTGTAAAAAAAAAAGATGAGAACAGTATTCCATGTGAGGCCGAACTTGCGCTTTGTAAAGTTGTAAGCGATGTGCCGGCATGAAATACTGTCTCGCTCTGCTGAGCACGCCAAGCTTTTTAGAGGCCAATTTGGCCTTCCCTTCCAAGTAACCACGGGTTGTACCTACCCCATATCGTCCCGTGTGTGTCGTAAGAAGCGATAGAGGAAAGAAAACTTTATCAGGAGATGGGCAGCAGTATCTCCCTAACTGCGGACTACAACTCAAAATAATAAAAAAACTGCGGCAATATATGGGAAAGTACTATGTTTAGAAGTAGGCCATGGTGGATGAATAAATATTTGTACCATTTGTTGTAGAGACTATCGGTTAGTCCACGTACGTTAAAGTTACTAAAAACTTGCGTGAGTATCGTGGAACACTCGGTTGGAACGAAGTTCCTTTCGTAGTATATTATTATTGATAAACGTATTATAATATTGATTAACAAATACAAATATATACAAATTACTAGCGTCTATTGAAATGAAGCGTCATTGAAAACAAAATAATATTTATTTAACGGCAAGATAAGAAAAAGTGCGAGGGACATGGATATTACTCCATCTCGCTTCCTTATAGCCGCCAAGGTCTACACTAGGTCAGAAGGGGTCGTGACGGAAAAATCTTACACTTTTTCTCGCCTAGCCCCCATCCGTAAATTCATACCGTCCGATATGGAATTTCGTTCCAAAAACTGTATCCGACCTGTTGTCGCCGCTTTTTTTTACTTATATGTTTAGAACAAAGGATGTTAATTATACGTGAATCATATTTTTGGAGATCAAATCAAATTTTAAAATAAAGTAATTTTTCTTAAGATTCGACGATAGTTCACGATAAGAAGTATTTTTAATACATACCGACCGGGCTGGGCCTACGTCACTTTTTAACTTGAATTCCCTACTAATATTTGAAAACATTTTAAATCTTCTCACACAGTCCACTTGATGGTAAGTGGATGCTGTGGCCCATAGACATCTATATTTATTCTAAATTAAGAATCAAAATGCAGATGCGTTGTCTCCCCTGAGAACTAAAATGGAATTCCTCATTTGCAGTGAAACGGTTCTCCGATTCTCTACACTCAGCATACGAAACACAGCAGCATTAATCTGCTAGTTTACGCTGGTATTCTGTGAGAGCGTGGTCTCACCCCGGTCGAGCCGACCCATTCGTGCTACAACCATAATATAGTTGCAGTGTGGCTCTACCACGTCTTTTCTGAAACTACCATACAATCATTATACCAATACAAGTAATTACGTAGACCAGAAATTACCCACTTATCAGAACACACTCTAATATAAAGGCATATATTTTCTGACACGTTGCATAATTTCCTAGTTTGAGGGATCAGTATGCTTAAGTTACATACAAAATATAAAGGGTATTATGTAACTGCGCTAAGTGCAACAGTAACTTACCAGTATATCGATTTCAGTAACGCAGTTTAGAGATGTCTATAGCCGAGAAAATTAATAGGAAGCCCTTATTGTCTTTAATACTAGCGATCCGCCCCGGCTTCGCTCGCATGATTTCTTGATCTCGACATAAGTGCCATCCAGCGGATACAATAATGCTCAAACACTCAGAAAAAATTTCATCGATATGAAACTTTTTGTGTGTAGTTCAAGGCCTCAACCAACATTTGTGCACAGTGCACGGATTGTTGATAAAATAATCTTATAATTTTTATGTACTTTTAAAGTTTACTAGATTAGTTTTACTGGAAATGAGGCATTCCATCTTAGTCCTCACGGGTGACAACGCATCTACATTTTGATTTGTAATAGAGGATAGATGTAGATGTCTATGGGCCACAGCAACCACTTACCATCAGGTGGACTTTGTGCTCGTTTGTCACCCTTATCCTAAAAAAAAACTTTTAAAGTGTTAGAATTACACACAAGCTACCAGTCTACTTGATGGTAGCTAATACAGTTCACTAACGCTTGCAATTCATTTCAAACAAGAATGGCTACAGATGTTTTGACACTCGTAAGCACTAAGATGAAATATCACACAATTTGTACATAAATTGACTTTATACCCATTTATCATCATCATCATCAACGTTGTGGTGCCATGCTACAGCTGTAATATGGTAACAGCAACTCAATGCTGGTGTATTTCTTATGGTGAGTGTAGAGAATTGGAGACCCTTTTTACTGAAATGAGGCATTCCATTAGACATTTTAATTCTTAACCGAGGATACATTTTTTATAGGATAGGGTGACAAACGAGCACACAGTCCACCTGATGGTAAGTGGTTGCTGTGACCCATAGACATCTATCTACATTTATCCTCAATAAAAAATCAAAATGCAGATGCCTTGTCACCCGTGAGGACTAAGATGGAACGCCGCTTTTCCAGTAAAATGGTTCTCCGGTTCTCTATTCTCACCATAAAAAATACAACAGTATAAAGCTGCCATTTTATGCTGGTGTTCTGTGAGAGCGTGGCCCTTCTCCGGTCAAGTCGACCCATTTGTGCTACAACTATACTACTAATATAGCTGCAGCATGACTCTACCACGTTTAAAATATACATAGAATATAGATGTAGATAGCAACATGTAGATGTATATAGGCCACAGTATCTATTTACCATCAGTTGAACTGTGTATTTCTAGATTTTTTATAGAATAAGGGTGACAAACCCTAAAAAATGTGACTGGAACACAACAGAGGACATGTATCACAGTGGACCTAATATCACAGTGGTAGAGCCACGCGGCAGCTTTTGCTGTCGCACGGTTGGGCCGGCTCAAACCGGGGTGGTACCACGACCTCACAGAAAACCAGCGTGAAGTAGAGGTTTACCTCTGCGTTTCGCTTGGTGAGTGCAGGTGGCCGGAGGCTCTTTTTACTGGAAATGAGGCATTCCATCTTGGTCCTCACGGGTGACAACGCATCTACATTTTGATTTGTGGATTTGTGTTGAATGGAGGATAGATGTAGATGTCTATGGGCCGCAGCAACCACTTACCATCAAGTGGACTGTGTGCTCGTTTGTCACCCTTATCCTATAAAAAAAGTGGATGTTTCTTTGCTTGGCGAAGGAAGCTAGTAAAATAGGTTGTAATGACGTCAGAAGGAAAACCTTATCTCCTGCGTAGTAAAGTAAGTAATTTTTAATTCGCGACAAAACAAAAGGGTGTTATATGTTTGTAGTGTGCATCTGTTTGTCTGTCTGTGGCATCATGGTTCCTGAACGGATGAACCGATTTGATAATTTTTTTTTTGTTTGAAAGATATCTTAATCAGGAATGTTCCAAGCTATGTTTCAAGAAAATCTGTTCAGCCGTTTGACGATTATCAGCTCTTTTTGTTTCGAGGGTTTTTAAATGTTTTAATTTAAGTTATTAAATATTATATACCGAGTTGGAACGGCAGTAAGTTAACCGTGCAGTGGCGGTGTAAGTATATCCACTACCCCCTAACATCCTGCAGGTGTCGTAAGAGACGACAGAGGGAAGCTGAACCAGAAGATTTTTTTTGTTTTTTTTTTTTTGCTAAAAGTTCACCACCTCTGACCGGAATGTACACAATGTGTACACAATCTTTTTTTTTTATTTTAGTAACTTGTTTTAACCTATAGCAAATATCACTTCTATGAGGCAATATATGGGTGAGGCTAATGTTCAGCAGTGGACTTTTGATAGGCCTTGGACTTTCAATAATCTTTACTGTGTAATTACAAATTACAATAACATTCAGAGCCGATTTTCTACCAACTTCAAACAAGAAGAGGTACTCAATTCGACTGTATTTTCTTGTGTGTTACCTAATAACTTCTTACTGGGTGAACCAATTTCAATGATGAAAGCTGGTGCTTTACATGTGGTCCCACATAAATTTGATCAAGGTCTAATCAATCGGTTTTGAGTTATTCCTAATAATTTATATTGAAGTGGGTTGTACAAACTTTTTAATTTTAAATTATTCAATCATCAGCTAAAAGTTTTGTTTTTATAGAAGTGGGGGCAAACGAGCATACGGGTTACCTAATGGTAAGTGACTACCACCGTTCATGAACAATTGCAACACCAGGGGAATCGCAGGTGCGGTCCCGGCCTTTTAAAAAAGGTTAAGCTCGTTTCTTGAAAGCCCTAAGTCGTATCGGTCCGGAAAAATCGCCGGTGGTAAACGATTCCACAAAGAACACTCCTAGTAAATTATACAATGGTGGACTGCCGAGCGTTCAAATAATATGGCTGGAATTAAATCGAACAATTCCTCATAGATGCAACATCACTCCGCAGCGCCAGTCAATCATCAGTTAACCATTAAATAAAGTATCACTATTGAGTGAAGTCACAGGGAAAAGAATATGCCTCTGCATTTTTTATTCCTAGACCTGCAGAAGGCCTTTGACTGTGTTCCTAGGGAGATGATCTGGTGGGCGTTGCGGTCGAAGTTGGTACCAGAGACCTACGTGGAAATCGTACGTGACATGTACCGCAACTCCGATTCAATAGTCAGGACGGCTGTTGGTGATACCACCCCCTTCCCCATAACCATAGGCGTGCATCAGGGCTCCGTCTTAAGCCCCTATCTCTTCAGTGTGATATTAGACGAACTGTCAGCCAGCGTACAGAAACTACCGCAGCCTTGGCTGCTTATGTACGCTGATGATATCGCACTGGTAGATGAGGACAAAGGACGGCTCACCAGACGCGTGCACGCATGGAGGGAGGCGTTTGAGAACGGCGGGCTGAAGCTAAACGTGGCGAAGACGGAGTATATGGCCTGCAACAGCACAGATCTGACGTCTCTCCGTATAGGCGACGACACCGTCGAGCGCACGGACAACTTCAGGTACCTCGGATCTGTGCTTGATGCGTCCGGTGACATCGATCGCGACATCAAGGCCCGTATATCAGCGGCTTGGGCGAAATGGCGCGAGGTGACGGGTGTCATTTGTGACCCCAAAATGCCGGTCAAGCTGAAGGGACAGGTCTATAAGACCATCATAAGGCCTGTCCTTACGTACGGCAGTGAGGCGTGGCCGGTGCTGGAGCGATACCGGCAGTTGTTGCATGTCACGGAGATGAACATGCTGCGGTGGATGTGTGGCGTCACACGGAAAGACCGTGTACGGAATACATACATCCGCGGCAGCCTCCATGTCCGTGACATTGCTGACAAGCTGCAGGAAAGTCGCCTCCGCTGGTACGGCCACGTCTTACGACGACCAGCAAGCTACGTGGGAAACAAATGCCTGGACATGACCTTACCTGGTGCCAGGAGTAGAGGACGGCCCAAGAAACGCTGGCTTGATGTCGTGCAGGATGACATGCGCGCCAATGGGCTAGTTGTGAGGGACGCCGAAGACCGGGCAAAGTGGAGGAGGAAGTGTCGGAAAGCGGACCCTGGGTTCTCCCGCGCTGGGCGGGATGAGCAACCGGGATAAACGCTAGGTAGAAGATTGAGTGAAGTCAGAATGTGTTAAAAGATACACGTAAGGCTATTCATAATGGTATGTTAGTACCTACCATATTGTATGGCAGTGAAATTTGGGTTTGGCAGAAGAAGCGCGAGAGTATATATAGAGTATGACAGGGTGAGAAATTGTGTGATAAGTGAAAAGTGTGGTTCGCAAGATGATCTTGTGACCAGGATTAAGAAAGGGATGCTTCGGTGGTTTGGTCATGTACATGACCATGAAGAAATAGTGATAAAACAAATAAATGCTGCAGAAGTGAAAGCCAGAGTCGGCAAGAGACACCCTGGGCGGAAGTTTATGGACCAAATTGGCGATATATTGAAGATGTCCCAAATTAATAGTACCCTTAATCTAGTATATGGATGTAAAGGAAGCGAAGAGAAGTCCGTAGACTCTGCCTTACCCTTTGGGTGACGAGCGTGAGTGTTTATGAATTGTATATAATTATTCTGTTGCGTTAAATATTCTTAATATTACATTATTAATTTATATATGTACGTGTTACACAATTGCTGTTTTTTTAATTCATTATCTATTCATTCATTACAGCATGCGTGCTATGACATAAGCCGCGAATAAACAGAAGTCAGAACTCAATATTTACATTCGTTATATTATTTTATTCAAATTAATGGAAACTGTGAGGGCCTGTATCTTCTACATGTAAACTTTTAGCAGGTAAGTTGAACCCCAGAAACAGTCTGTATGTTTTAGTGCGGTATACTCTGGTCCTTCCCATTTGAGCTGACCCAGTTTAGCAGAAGACGTGGGCTGGTAGCCCGGCTCTTAAACGTATAATCGTGACGCAATCAGAATTAATATATATCCGTCTATAAGCCGACCTGGTGGTAAGTAGTGATAAAGCCCTATATGGTAAATTGCACAGCCTTAGTTTAACAAAAGCCCATTCTTGCCTCAAAGACGCCGAGATTGTAATTTGGCGAAAAGATGAATGAGGACCTCCGACTTAGAGAGGGTTATATCTAAATCGGCTGTTAGGTAATTCAGGTGGTACGTTGTTGTCTTTCTAAAAATTAAGACCGTCAACCGATAGTGCCGCAGTTTGAACTCTACCTTCAGGTATGCAGCTTCTCGTTGCTGGAACGATCTGCCGCCACCAATACGTGCTCTAAAAACTATAGGAATATTTAAAAAAAAAAACTGATATTAATTTTAAAACAAGACTGTAATCACAAATAATAAATAAAAATTTACTTATTTTACGTATACAATTTAAAGGGCCTCCATTTAATACTAAAAAGATATGATGACTGTAAGATTCACTGTATTTATTTATTTTTTTATCTCCACACTAATTTTCAGATCACTTTCTGTTTTCGTTTCTTTTCGTTGATGGTGTTGTTAAATCTTCTTAGTCTTCAATTAAATTCAAATGTTTATTTTATTAAGATTAGACGATATATTTCATGTTGTTGAGCTGTTGAGCACTTGATCATGTATGTGTACATATAAGTGTGTATGGATGTATAGCTATATATGGGTTCATATGTAATTGTATGTTTATAATTGCTTAAACAATGTATTATTATTTCCAAATAATAACACTTATTATGCTGATTCTGTCCCCACACTGAATATTTTTATCTAATTTTAATTAGTTTTAGCTTTAGGTAATGTATGACCGTCCGTGAAGCCAATATTAGGCTCTATTTGAAAACCAGCGCTGCTGTCATCTAGTTCAGCAGCTGTTAGCTGAAATAGGGACCTAATTTGACTTTACACAAATCCTGTTTTTTATATCTCGTGTTATTTTATTTATTTTTTTCTTTGTGATGTCAAATAAAGTTTTCTTTCTTTCTTTCTTTCTTCTTACCTAGCAGGATTGCCTTCTTTTATAGAATAATGGTGACAAACGAGTTCACAGTCCTCCTGATAGTAAATGGATGATGTGGCCCATAGACATCTACATTTATGATTAAGATGCCTCGTTTTCACTAAAGAAGGTCTCCGGTTCACAACACTCACCATACGAAACAGCAACTTTGAACTGCTAATTTACGCTGCCATTATGTGAGAGAGTGTCCTTCTCTGGTCGAGCCGACCCATTCGTGCTACAACCATAATATAGTTCAACATGGCTTACCTACTTAAGATATGATTCGCAAACTGTAGTATTAAAGGAGTCCAGATTTTTTTAAAACATTTTATACATGGCGATTTCCTAATGATAATGTCCTTCATCGCCGGCACTTGGTTAATATATATAAATAAATAAAATAGAAGTGTATGTTTGTAATGTCAAAATAACAGCTTTTACTAAATGCATATGGAAGTATATACGGCATTTGTAACAAAAAAAAAGTTTTAAAATTTCTGTCTGTCTGTTTATTTTTATTAATCTTCGAAATGGCTGGACCGATTTTGTCCGATTTGATAGCTGATGTTATAAGGAGTAACTTAGGCTCTTTTATTTTAGAAAATTAATTTAGGTTTCGCGCACAAAAGTTAAAACCCTAAATCACACGCGGACGAAGTCGCGGGTAACAGCTAGTTGGTGCATAAAATTTTACTTTATAATTTTATTGTTGACAGCATTGAGAATTTAACTGCTGTGCTGTTACGTGTTCTTTATATATTATAAAATTTATGTTGAGTGACTTGACCCTAGATCCTGTTTAACTTTTGGCTATTTACTAATTCATATATTTTATTATATACAAATAACTTGCAAAAATTGTACGTGGTAGAGCCATGCAGAAATTTGCACTGTGATCTGAAATATCTGAAAATAAAGTATAATTATTATTATTATTGCTGGCCGTAAGAGGAAGCTCAAAGTCGCTCAGCGAGCTATGGAGAGAGCTATGGTCGGCGTTTCTCTGCATGATAGACTTAAAAACGAGGATGTCCGCAGTAGAACCAGAGTAACCGACATAGCCCAAAGAATTAGTATGCTGAAGTGGCAATGGACCGGCTATATAGTTCGAAGAACCGACAACCGATGGGGAAGAAAGGTTCTCGAGAGGCAGCCTCGTACTGGTAGGCGAAGTGTCGGGCATCCCCCCGCTAGGTGGAGTGACGACCTGGTAAGACATGCAGGAAGTCAATGGATGCAGGTGGCTTGAGACCGTGCTTTGTGGCATTCCTTGCTTCAGGCCTACGTTCAACAGTGGACTTGTGAAGGGCTGTAATGGCGATGATTATAATTTTTAGGTTGTAGCATGGATGGGTCGGCTCGAACGGGGAAGGACCACGCTCTAACAGAATATCAGCGTCAAATAGTAGCTTAATACTTATATGTTTCGTATGGAGAAAACCGAAGACCCATTTTACTGGAAACGAGGCATTCCATCTTAGTCCTCAGGGTGACAACGCATCTGCATTATGATTCTTAATCGAGGATAGATGTGGATGCACACACAACATCCACTTACCATAATTTGTGACTGTGACTGTGTGCTCGTTTGCCCCCCTTATCTGTATTTATAAAAATCAATTGCTGTCTGTTAGTCTCGCAAAAAGTCGAAATTGGCTGGACCATTTTGGATGAGAGTTTCTGTGTGTGTTTGAGTGGGTCCCTGAATGATCTAAACGATTCATAATTGGACCCGGTAGGTGGCGCTGTTGTCGAGATCCAGAAATCGCCCGTGCGAAGCCGGGGCGGATCGCTAGTTCTATATTAAAAAAAACTTTCTTCTTTCTTCTTTATTGTTCTGTATAAAAAAAAAACTCTTTCTCGTTTCTTCTTTATTGACTCGAAAGAGTCATAGACCTCCCATGTTGTAAGGAGGATAGAGGATTGACGGTAGGAGTTTCAGATATCTCGCACGTTAAACGTATACGTGACGTAGACGTAGTAATTTAGCAAATTGCAAAACACGATCGCTTCAATATTATATCAATAGCAATGATACCCACTTTCAAAACGTAACTGCCTTGAGATAACGCATCAGAGAGCACTTTTACAACTAAAGCACTTTAATTCATTGTAATAGGAACTGTATTTGCTTGACAGATGTGTTTTATGCAGTAGTTTGCTCTGGTTGCTATTGAGTATTATTATTGCACAGGCATTGATGAGTTAAGTTTGTTACAAAACAGATGGTGAATGTTCTTAAATTTATGATCAAAAATGAATTAATTGAATGTGCATTTTAATTTAAATATAAATGACTGTGCATATATTTTTAAAGCTTTGACATCACATTAGAAAATTTCCTGTATTTTGCTGGCATTTCACATTCATAATTACACGTAAACAAATATTGTAAACCAAAAAAAATTGTGGGTTATATAAATACTATGATTGTGTAGTGGCGGTGTAAGAATATCTTGTACCCTGTATCGTCTCGTGTACATATTTTATAATAAGCGACAGCTAACAAATGAAAATGGAAATGCGTAATAGCATATTCCTGATAACAATTTAATAATAACAATAATTAATAAAAAAAAACTACAGTATTATTGCGAAACCATTGCACAGAAAAGTATTAATTTGAGCGACTTCGCTTGCGTTACCAATAAAATAAAAAATATAACTTGTGCTCCTTTACATAATGCAAGGTAATCGGTGAATGTGTAGCATAGGTCAGTCATGTGTAGGGTTACCAGATCCGAAAATAAGTTTTCCTGGCAAAATCGCTGACTTTTCAATAAATTTCCTGACATTAATGCGGAGACAGCAAAAATACCTAATTGTAAAGGCTCGCGCATGTGCTTGACATATGCGAAATATAAAGCAATAAAAAGTAAGAAACAGCTCATATGAATAAAACATTTTAATTGTTGGGATTTTTTTAATTTATTATTATTATTTGTGATTAAACTGTTTCATAAATATTTTAATTTGTATTACTTATATTTTTCTTGTTCTATTTAAAAATTTGTCACTATTTCTAATTTTCCCTATTTTCCTGACAGAGGGCTAAAATTCCGGACATGTGAGGAAAATTGCTGTCACCTGGTAACCCTAGTCATATAGCGAGCTGTGATGACGTGATATAGCAAGGTATGCCGGTTTTGCAACGGTTCCATTTCTTGAGACGATGCGTCACTAAATTTAATTTGTATAATTGACTAAATTAACTTAACGGATTTCATCGCGTCTAATTTTAACTCATTTTAAATTAGCAGTGAATAGAAACAGAAACCCTTTCTGTCTTATCACAAAACGTGGTATATTAGCTTTTTTACATTGCAATTCTGTGAGACCGTGGTCCTTCCAAGGTCAAACCGACCCATTCGTACTGCAACTATAATATTGTATGGCTCTACGGGCTTGGCAATCCACTTCTATGCAATTTATTTAAATGTTTCTTCTCAAGCGATTTCTTTGTAGAATCGGCTGTGTTTTTCTTTTTTTTTTACACTGGCTTTACGGCTCTGGGTTCTAGCCCTTCTGTGCCTTAGAATCGGCTGCTATGTGGAATGAAGTAAAATTTTATATCGTTTGCTTGACAGTGCATTGAAATTTGGAAACGCGCAACTAATATACCGGTAGTGTACTTATCTTCTTGAGGCTTTCTCTAGTTGCGATGAACCGTTAGTGTTATGAACTAATATGAATGTAATAAACTCATGTTATTTTAAATGCAATCCAGACGTTGCCAATCAGAGCGAAACAGGACTGGTGTTAACTATTTCGCATCTTGTGAAAGAACTCATGTGAGATTTGTTTGATTTAATAATATAATTTACATATTTAAACATTGAAATAGCATTAATTACACTTATTAAAATGGGTAAAATTTAATAAAAATCATTAAGGACACACATTTTATATATCAAGAGTGCAAAGTTTAATACCTAATTTTATGTTTCGCATGGTATTCGCATTTATAAAAACCCAATGGTAAAAATTCGACTCGTTCGAAATTTTTGGATTGTTTTTTTTTTTTTATAGAAGAGGGAGCAAACGAGCATGCGGCTCACCTAATGGTTAGTGTCGACCGTCACTCATGAACAACTGCAACACCAGGGGAATTGTAGGTTTGTTGCTGGCCTTTTAAAAAGGAATAAGTTCGTTTTTTAAAGGTCCCTAAGTTGTAACGGTCCGAAAAATTGCCGGTGGTAAACGATTCCACAAAAGTAAATTTGTACTGTAACACCGTAATATTCATTTCTTAGGTGGTAGAGCCATGCTGCAGCTATATTAGTAGTATAATTGTAGCACGAATGGGTTAGCTCGACCGGAGAGGACCACGCTCTCACAGAATATCAGCGTAAAAAAGCAGCTTAATACTGCTATGTTTCGTATGGTGAGTATAGAGAACCCAAGACCCTTTTTACTGGAAACGAAGCATTAACTTAGTCCTCACGGGTGAAAACGCTTCTGCATTTTGATACGTAATCGAGGTTAGATGTAGATGTCTATGGGCCATAGCAACCACTTACAATCAAGGGGACTGTGTGCCCGTTTTGTCACCCTTATCCTATTAAAAAAACATTTTAACTGCACATTAATATCTAAAACACAAATATCTCATATGCAAAATATAAAATAAACACTTTTTTGCCTTGACTTTTACACTTCACACACTATTAAAAAAGAAACATTTGAAATCACACATAATTCACATCTTATTCAGTCGATATGTCAGTAATAATTTGTCGACCGTAATTATCCGTCACTAAAAATTCTTTGGCAGCAATCTCTACTCCGTGCGACTGTTTGACCACAGACTATTAAGTGTTTAACATTGGCTTTAGAGTAATAAGTAATAATATATGCAAATGCATGCACTTACTCTGAAAAATGGGCAGTATGAACGTAAACAACGTATGTTTTATTTTATTTTATTTAATGTATTTGTAACACATGGTTATGTGCTTAAAAATGTTACATAGTATTTAGTCCCTTTACATATTAATTAATATATAGATGTTATATGAATACTGAGTTCCACGTACTGACGCAATTACTTAAACTTTTTACTTTAGATCTTTTAAGGTTATCCCCGTGTTGTTTACACCGCTTCGTAGTATTATCTAAAATCTAATCTGAAATTGCATTAAGATACAAAGTATGATTTGAAGTTATTTGCTTTCGAAACTTATTATGCTATTCATATTTAGGAATGTTTTTAAGTAAATTAAAAAACGTTTCGCTTGTGGCGCGACGCATTGAAGCCTACATCACGCTATCAAAGTTTGGACGTTATCCTGTATACATTGAATAGCTCTTGTACGATCTCTCCTTTTCTACCGACCTCAAAAAGGAGGAGATACTCAATTCGACTGTATGTTCTTTTTTTTTTGTATGTTACCTCATAACTTTTTTCTAGGTGAACCGATTTCGATGATTCTTTTTTTTTATATATTGAATAATTAACTTACATTGAAGTCGGTTGTACAATTTTTCTAATTTTAAATTATTCTTTCACAGCCATAGTACTAATGACGCAAAAAAAGCAACAACAAAAAGAAAATAAAAATAAACAAAGTACCAATATGTCGCAATCTCTGACGAGTGTTGCTTGCCTGTTTACCACTTTTATAATTTGTTCTGAATACATGCGCCCTTGCCCTCACTGTCCTTGACCGATAAACTGTTTGCTACATTTTGAGAGGTCACTATTCATTGGTATTAATTTTGTTATAATTACTTTTTTCGCGTTTATTTACAACAATGTTCGAATGAAAAATAAATAACATTACAGACTATTAAAAGTCCACTGCTGAACACACGCCATCCCATAGATTGCCTCATAGAGGATATTTTGCCATAGTTGCAACGCTTGGGAGGCGGGTTGGCAACCGTAGTTTTTTTATTTACTATCAGCAGGGCTAGCATGGGCAGGAGACAATTTTATCCCCGGGGCAAGGAGAAAATGTTTATCCCCTCGCTTAGTGTTATCCACCCTTCGAACATGGATACACCGGTGGATATAATATCCACAGTAGATAAATAGTGAGATAGACTTAGACTTAGATAGATTTTTGTATGAATATAAACTTAAACCCATGTCCAATGAACTAGGATAAAATTTTCCATTTCAAATGTCAAAAAAGTATAATTTTTTATCTTTCATTTGGCTCCATGCTACGGACGAGGGATATATGTCTACTCGTTATGTCACACGGGGCTATACTTCTACCCGTTGCCGTGGATATAATCGGGGGATAAATTTTTTGTCCCCAGCCCTTAGACTTAGATAGATTTTTGTATGAATATAAACTTAACCCCTCGTCCAATGAACTAGGATAAAATTTTCCCTTTCAAATGTCAAAAAAGTATAATTTTTTATCTTTCATTTGGTTCCATGTTACGGACGAGGGATATATAGGTATGTCTACTCGTTATGTCACACGGGGATATACTTCTCCCCGTTGCCGTGGATATAATTGGGGGATAATTTTTTTGTCCCCAGCCCATGCTAGCCGTACAGGAAGACGCTGCTGCCCATCACCTGTTTCAATTCACCCCCTGTCGCCTCGTACGACACCCACGGAACGATATGAGGTAGTTGAAATACTCACACCGTCACTACACGGTTAAAAGTTGAATTGAAAAGTGACTTATATGATTTTTAAGGTTTTTCTCACTTGCACTATGAAATCTTAATTTTCGTTACAGCTCGGTCGGTCTCCAAGATTTCGTCGTGACTTACCACGTATTCGAACCCAACGGTTTGCTTCATCGTCCGTCATGCGTACAGCAAAAGAGTGGAAACTTATGCCAGATTCTTCTTTCTTTAAGGCAAAATTGAATAGGCTTTAAGTCAGTGCGCTTTAACCATTTTCAGCTGTAACACGACTTAGTACTATCGGTTGGGTTGGTGTCAAACACTAGCTTACAATAGTTTGAAAAAAAACGTAATTCTTATCATGAGTATATTCGTAGTTAGAAAGGATGCCGAGTTTTGACTTCAGCCTGTTGGTATTTTAATTTATTTTTGTTTGTTTATACGTCCTACTTCTGAGCACAGGCCTCCTTTTAATCCTGAGAGGGTTTTATTCGATCTTTTTTTTTATTTCTTAGGCAAGCAGGTTTCCTCACGACGTTTTCCTTCACCGTCGGGCACGTGGTAAATTAGCACTATAATTGCAAT